CTTTGGTGAGAATTGGATACTGAAGTCTCCTACTATTTTATGTGTGATTTAAGTTTTATTAATGTTTCTTTTACAAATGTAGGTGCCCTTGTATTTGGGGCATAGATGTTCAGAAATGTGATGTCTTCTTGGTGGAATTTTCCTTTGATGAGTATGAAGTGACCTTCCCCATTTCTTTTGATTAGTTTTGGTTGAAAGTCTATTTTATTAGATATTAGAATGGCTACTCCTGCTTGCTTCTTGGGTCCATTTGCTAGGAAAACAATCTTCCCACCCTTTCCTCTCAGGTAATGTCTATCTTTGTGACTTAGGTGTCTTCGTTTATGCATCCATTCTGTTAGTCTGTGTCTTTTTATTGGAGAGTTGAGTCCACTGATGTTGAGAGAGATTAATGACCAGTGGCTGTTAGATCCTTTTATATTGATGTTGGTTGTGGTAGTGGGTTTGTGTGCTTGACTACTTTTACTTTTGTTGTAGTGAGGTTATTTATTTCCTTTTTCCTGAAGGTAGTTAGCTTTCTTGGGTTGTAGTTTTCCTTTTAGTATCTTCTGTAATGCTGGATTTGTGGGTAGGTATTGCTTAAATTTGTTTTTTGTTGCTGAATATCTTATTTTCTCCATCTATGATGATTGAGAGTAGTAGCCTAGGATCACATCTGTTCTTTTAGGGTCTGAATGATATCTGTCTTTCATAGTCCTTCTGGCTTTCATAGTCTCATTGATAAGTCAGGTGTGATTCTGATGGGTTTGCCATTACACGTTTCTTGGCTTTTCTCCCTTGCAGCTTTTAGTATTTTTTTCTTTGTTTTGTATTTTTACTGTTTTAACTCTAATGTTGCTGGAGGATTTTCTTTTCTGGTCTAATTTATTAGGTATTCTGTAGGCCTCTTGTATGATTATAGGCCTTTCCTTCAAATTGGGGAATTTTTCTTCAATGATTTTGTTGAAAGTATTTCCTGGGCCTTAGAGACGGGAATCTTCTTTTCCCTCTATTCCTATTATTCTTAACTTTTGTCTTTTGACGTTGTCTTGGATTTCTTGGATGTTTTTGTCAGTAATTTTTTTTAGATTTATCATTTTCTTTGACAGATGTATTGATTTCTTCCATTGTATCATCTTCCACAACTGAGCTTCTTTCTTCCATCTCTTGTAGTCTGTTGGTTTTGCTCACCTCTGTAGTTCCTGTTTTCTTCCCTAAGTTCTTCTTCTCCATGATTTCCTCCGTTTGTGTTTTTTTTTTTAATTTTTCCAATTCTATCTTCAGATCTTGAACTGTTTTTTTAAATTTCCTTCACCTCTCTGACTATTTTCCTTCACCTGTTTGTTTGAACATTCCTCTGTTTCTTTTATTTCTTTCAGTGATTTAATTATTTCTTCTATGAAGGCCACAAACTGTTTGGCTGCCTCTTCCTGAATTTCTTCATGGATGGCCATAATCTGTTTAACTTTATCTTCCTGGATTTCTTTACGGATGGCCATAATCTGTTTGACTTTGTCTTCCTCTATTTCTTTACTCATATTCTTTGTTTCCTCCATTATCATCTTCATAAGCATTGATGTAAGGTCATTTTCTTGAATTTCACTTATATTAGGGTGTCCAGAGCTACTTGCCCCTGGATAACTGGGTTCTAGAGATGCTGTTTTGCTTTGGCTATTGTTGGTTGTGCTTTTACACTGGCCTCTATCCATCTGGCTGTCTTAGGTGTTGGCTGTTAGTTTCTGGTGCCTGCTGGAATCTTGGGGTGGGGAGAATCCCCTTTGCAGGAAGATTGTTTTTCCTGAAGGAGGCCTCCTCAGCTTTTTGGGTATGATCACTGAATGGCTGGTGCTTTTCAGGAATTGCCACAGCTCACTCAGGTGTATGGACCTGTGTGGTAACTGTGGTCGTTGTTAGTTGGGGGGGGGGCTCTCCTCTCAGTAGGAGAAGTCCTAGAGACACTAGTGTCCTGCCGCTAGGTTTCTTGCTTTGAATTTAGTGAGCTGCTGCTGCTGTTCTTACACTGTGTTTGCTGGGTGCAGCCCTCTTTAAGAACCAGTGAGCCCTGTGATTTGGTCAGTTTAGCTAGGGAGACAGGTTGTGCCTTGCAGCAGTTTCTGGGGATTGATCCTGTGGATCCCCAGCTTCTGTAGGTATTAGGTTGGAGTTCTGTGCCCCAGTACCCAAGCGGTAATCAGTGTTGGTTGAGCACAGCACTCATGGTGGCAGCAGGAGGCTAGAGCCCGAGCCTGTGGGAACTCAGGAACTTTTCCGGGGATTAGCAGGATGTCCTCAGGTCAGACCTGATGTTTCCTCCACTGTGGGGTTTTCTCCCAACAGGAAGACCCTCTCTGTGGTGTTCTCGGGTCTGCAGTTCAGTCTGGGATGGTGAGTAGAACACGCAGGCGCAGCGGAGTGGCTCCAGGCTGGCAACTGTTCGCCTGTAGGAACCTAGGAATTTTTCTCGAGAAATTTTTGTGTGTGTGTGTGTGTGGGGGGGTAGGCTGGGTCCCCTGTGGTTGGACCTGATGTTTCCTTCACCATGTGGTTTCCTCCCAACAGGAAAACCCAGTCTCTGGTGGGTTTGGGGCCCACAATTCTGTCTGGGACAGTGAGTCGGACACATAGGCGGGTCTAATACACATAGGCGGGAAATACACCACGTAATTTCACTGGTTTATTTTTATTTTATGCGTATGGATG